TGGAATCGAGCAGCGCCGGCAGCCGGCCATACGCCCTCCGGGCGCGGATGACGGGGGAATCAGGCGAAGGGGAGCGAGCGAACGGAGACCGACCAGGCTGGGTGACAGGCGGGGGCGGGACGAGCGGTGAACATGCCTCCCGGCACGTCCTTGACAAAACCCGTTCCCCACGCGCCCGATGGGTGGCGCGCCACGCGCGCACCCAAAGAAGGAATCGAACAGCGCAGGGCTGCTTCGTAAACGCCCAGGGCCGTTGAGTGCACGCCAATTATCGGGGTCGTGGTGGTTTGTCCTCCCTTGCGGGGTCTGTGGAGGGGGGCCGAGGGCGGAGACCGCCCGAGGGGCAGCACGAGCACGAGCGATCCTGCCCATCGGGCCGCCGATGCCGCCGAAGCCCCCCCCCCCCAGAGGACCCCCCATGGGGTTCCCTTGGGGCGCGTCGACTGTGTTGGCGACCCTCTCCCTACCCTCTCCCGCCCTCCTCCGTCGTGCATCCTGCTCCCCCTGGCTTCTCATCGTCTCTCTCCCTCTCGCTCTCTCTCGCCCTCGTGTTGCTCCTCCTCGTGTCGCCCCTCCGTCGGTCTCCCTCGCCCGCGGGGGAGCCCCCCTTTGGCTAGAGCTCCAGCCCAGGTTTACACCACGACCTCTCCCCCACCCCCCATCAAGCTCTCGCTCTGATAATGGGAGAGGATGGAGAAGAGAGGGGCGCGCAAGGGCTTCCGAAATCACGCTTGACACGACAGTCCGCAGCTCGGAGCTTCGAGGAGGAGAAGGAGGAGGAGGAGGAGAAGGAGGAGGAGGAAAGGGAGGAGGAGGAGGAGGAGGAGGAGGAGGAAAGGGAGGAGGAGGAGGAGGAGGAGGGCGGGAGGAGGACGGCGGGAGGAGGAGGAGGAGGAGGAGGAGGAAGGAGAAGGGGAAGTAGGAGCAGGAGGAGGGGGAAGGGCGGGAGGCGGGAGGAGATAGACGGGAGGAGGCAGTGAGGAAGGAGGGGGGGAGGGGCGGGAGGGGGGCGGCGAGAGGCGCCACCCCCCGCCGCCCCCGCTGCAGGAGCTGCCTCTTCAGGGGAAGGGCCCTCCGCGCACGTCGTCCGCACGCGCATCGGGCAGAGCCGCGTCTGCGAGCGGAGCTCGGCGCCTCGGGAGGTGCCGACCCCGCGGGCACGGGCCAAAAACGCCTGCCGCCGTGGCCTCGGCCACCGCGGAGGGGCAAAAGAAAGCGCCGGCGTCCGTCCAGATTTCGGTCGGGCGCCAAGCAAAAACAGAATGACTCCCTGCCAGGCCACCCCAACCCAGCCCGAGGACCCGAATGTCGGGTTAGGGGGGGGGGCGGGTTCCATCTGTTTCTTGTCAATGTTCCCCGAGGCCCCCCCCTCTGGGAATGGAGGGCAAATTGGGGCCTTCGGGTTGGGTTGGGGTGGTCTGGTGGGCGGCGACAGAATGCGCAAGCCAGCCAGGACGGCCCCGACGTCCCGCGCCGCGGCAGGGCTCCGCGACCGCGTGGCGCTGGGCCCCGCGAGCCCCGAGCGCGGGGCTCCTCGAGCGGGGCCGATCCGCGCGAGGTCTGGGCCTGAAACGCGGCAGGAACGCCTGTGCCCATGACCTCCGGCGCCACGCCTTGCTCACGGCGCGCCGGCAGCCATCGAGGGAGCCGCCGCGCCGCCGCCGCGCCGCCACCGAGGCCCCACCGCCCCACCGCCCCACCCCCCACCCGACGGGCGACGCCGCGGCTCTCGGTCGGCGCGGCTCCCCCCAAAGGAGGCCCGGACACCTCTTCTGGGGCGACGAGGTCTCGACTCCACCCCCGGGGGGTGTGGGCCCGACTTTTCGCCGCGGGGGCTCTTCGTCAGATTGCCCTGGGGATAGGTCGGGCGTGTCCTCCTGCGGGGGGAGTTTTGAACGACAAACGGCAGAAATACTCCAAGCATGCCCCCGATTAGTCAAAAATAGCCCTCCCCCCCAAAAAAAGATCGTCCTCATATTATGTGTGGACTCATGTTTGAAGATTCCTCCTGTAGAAGAACAGGCCCGGCTTAAAACAACCACCAAAAACATGATCGACCCACGAACCCGGAAAGGAATACAGAAATGCAAAGCATGGCAACGTTTCAAATACACCTGATTGGGCGACGGGCGAATGCAATGCTGAATGTATCGATCTTGATGTCCTGTGCCGAGGGCTGTGCTGTGCTGCGTCGTGCTGCTGAACTGCGATGTGCCATGCCGCGATTGTGCTCTACATATATATATATATATATATATATATATATATATATATATATATATATATATATATATATATATATAGCGTTGTGGATCGAGTCCTCCCTGGCATCCGAGTCCTGACCGAACTGATCTGGATCTCCAGCTCGAGCTGCCTGCACACCACCAAAAAAAAGGGTGCCCGCCGCGACTCTCCCGCGAGGTCCGGGGCCCTCTGGGGCCGTGCGTCGCCGCCGGGCACCCACCTGGGCAGGCGCTGCAGCGCGGCGGGCGGCGCTGCGGGCCCTCCCCGGCGCTGCCTGTCGGTCGGGCATGTCCCCCCAGAGGCGGGCTTTGGACGCAAGATCAAAGAAGACCCCCCACAAAAATGTCAATCAACAGAAAGACCCCCCAAAAAGATCCCCCCAAAAAAGACCCCCCAAAAAGACCCCCCAGAAAGACCCCGCAAGATCAAGAAGACCCCCAAACAAATGTCAATAAACAGGCGAAACAGAATCCAAACATCGTCCCCCGCCGATTTGCTTCTTCTATTTTTGAATATCCCTCCTGCAGGGGGACAGACCCGACTTAAGACTACCTACCAGACCACCCCAACCCAACCCGGAGACCCGAACTTCGGGTGGGCGGGTACCAGCTTTATATACATATATATATATACACACATACATATATATATACACATATATAGACATATATACATAAACATATACATATGTATATATGTTTTTCGATGTCCCCCGACACCCCCCCACGCCGGAAAGGGAGGGCAGATCGGGGCCTCCGGGGTGGGCTGGGGGCGTCTGGTGGGCGGTGGGAGCCCAGACCCCCGACGTCAGGAAGGCTTCACGACGCGGACCCTGGCTGCCCCCCTGTCCGGACCCATTCCCCGGGACCCGTCCTCCATCCCGAACTGTTCTTCCAAGGCCCCGAGGGCGAGCAAGGGACCCCGAGGGCCGAGACCAGCGAAGAGCTCCCCACGATCCTTGTTTCGCAGGCCTGCGACGCCCTGACTTGTTCCACACGCGCGGCCCCCGGAGTCCCGACCGCTTCGCCGGGATCGGTTCTTCATGCTCGATCGGCGCTTGACGGTGCCAGGGCCTGGCGAGGGCCTCTGGAGGCCATTGGCGGCGAGAAAACCTCGATCCTGAGTTCTTCGGCGGTGGACAAACCTCCCTTTGGCAAGCCACCCTTTTGTGAAAAAGGCCTGGGACCGAAACCGACGGACCTGGACCCGCAAAATGACGGCCCCGACGCCCTCTCGCGAAGCGAAAACGGCCAACTCGCTAATCGACGTGTCAGGGTAGGAGGTCGATCCACCTCCGAATTTTTCACGCCGCGATCACGTCGGAATTCATGGCCCGAGGGGGTCCGGGAAGCGAGTGCCCCTGGCAGCAAGAGCGTGAGCTGGGCGCTGCTGCGCTCGGCCGGCGCCGTGAGCCATCGAGGGCCGACGCATCCGAGCCCGGACGGGCCCGGACGGGCCCATCGAGGGGCGACGCCCGCCACTGGCTCGGGCGCACACCCTGAGGGCTGACGTTCCCAGATCTCCGAGGATCTGGTTTTTTTCGATCCGGCCGTTTGTCCTCGATTTCCGCCCCTGGGGACCGTCATCGAGCCCCGGGACCATGGAAAATGGATCCGGAACGACAAACTACCCCCATGGAAGGGGTTGGGTCTTTTGAGATCGCGGACTGAAAAATCATATCAGGGGATGTCTGGATTGCCAAATCATAGCCACACCGCACGAAATCACGACCAGAGCCCCGGACCGCATTTCTGTGCCTCATGTTTCCAAGCCGGATCGATCCATGAGGGCCCCAGCGCCCGAAGCCGAGCGAAAACTCCCGTGGCGGAAAAAGCTACGGCCCCAGACACCCGACGTCATGATTTCGTCATGACGTCGACCCTCGGAAGTCTCGACCCCTTCCCAGGGTCCGGTTATTCCTCCGGAGCCGTTGTTTCACGGTCCCGAGGGCTGGTAAGGGCCCCAACGAAGCCCGAAATAGCGAAAAACCTCCCGTCCTATGGTGTTCCAGCCTACTGTAGCCTTGACCACCAGAAACAATTTCGAGCACCAAGAAAATGCCGAAACTTGAAGGTTTTCACGTGTCTGGCCCTGGGAGGCGATGCTCGCTCGACACTGCTTCGATGCTCCTCTGGCTGCTCGAAGCCACCTCTGGGAGGCCGGCCGCAGATACGCTGGGAGCAGCACACAGCTCCCGCCGCGACCTGCTCCTAACCCGAGGGGCTCTGGGGCGCCAGGCTCTGAGGGCCAGCGCCCGCGGGCGCCTCGCCGGCCCCGCCCGCCGCCCACCGCCCGCCTCCATCAGCGGGCGAAGAAGGGTATCAAATAAACTTGTCCGCCGTCGGGGACGCCTGCCCCTCGGCGGCTGGAAAGCTCATACCCCCTACAGTGCCACCGTGAGGGTACAAACTTTCCAGCCGCCCTGGGGCAGGTGTCCCCGACGGCGAAAGAGTTTATTTTACACCGTTCCCAGACCCCCGACGTCATGAATTTTTCATGACGTCGACCCCCAGCGGTCTGGACCCTTTCCCCGGGACCGGTTCTTCGTCCTGAGTCGTTTTTTGACGGTCCCGAGGGCCGGTAAGGGCCCCCAGAGGCCAAAGATTATGAAAAACCTCCCGTCGTGATTTTTTCATAACTCGAGGGGGTCTGGGTTCTTCGCCCGTTAATCCAGGCGCCGCCGCTGCCGCACGCTAGCGGCTCTGCAGCGGCGGGCGCCCCGCCCGCCGCGGCTGCGGCGCCGCTCGCCCCTCGGCTCAGGCGCGCAGCGCCCGGGCGCTCGGGGGCCCGGCGCCGCCCGCGGCGGCCTCCTTGGCGCCCAGCGCGAGCTGCATGGGCTGCTGCTGCCGGCGCTCCACCACCTGGGCGCCCTGCTCCTCGTCCTCCTCCTCCTCCTCCTCCTCCCCCTCCTCCCCCTCCTCCTCCTCCTCCTCCCCCTCCTCCTCCTCCTCCTCCTCCTCCTCCCACTCCTCCTCCTCCTCCTCCTCCAGACACTATTCCTCGTTGACCCCCAGGAAGGTAGGGGAAAACAGGGGAAGTGGGGGGGGCGGGGGACGAAAAAATCAAGAGAAACATGTTTTCAAAAAGTTGGGGATCGATCGTCGACCCCCAGGACACTTAATGGAAAATACACGTGAAGCGCGGGGGACGACGAAAATCAAGGGAACACTTCAAAACAACAAGAAACAAGAAAACATATTTCAACAAAAAACGAGAAACAAAACAAAAAAAAAATGGGAATCCTGGGATCTATGTGTGTGCGTGTTTATTTGTATGCGTGTCTCTGGGCCCCCCTCCGCAGCGGCGGGGCGCGGGCGGCGGACCGCGGGGGGCCCAGGCCCCCTCTCAGGGGTCGCGACACCGTCCTGTGGCTTCTCTGCGAAGGGTGCTTGGGTCTCTTCTGAGATCGGTCCTGGTTCCCAGACCCCCTCTGAGCGAGCAACGACATATGTACATGTACGCCCTCCGCGATCTTGAGTGCACGAACGTCCTCGTTCAAACGCCCTCAAGGGGAAGCTAACCGCGTACGTGTACATATGTTGCTGGCCTCTGACCCTCGAGTCATGGAAAAATCACGACGGGAGGTGTGTCATTACTTTTGGCCTCCGGGGGCGCTTGCCGGCCCTCGGGACCGTCAAAAAACGACTCGGGACGAAAAAACGATCCCGGGGAGTGGGCCCAGACCTCTGGGGGTCGACGTCATAAAAAAATCATGACGTCGGGGGGTCTGGGTTCCCAGAGATCCGATGTCGTGATTTCTTCAATACGGGGCCCCTGGAAGTCTCGACCCATTCCCCGGGACCGGCTTGTCGTCCGGAGTCGTTTTCTGACGGTCCCGACGCCCGGCGAGAGCCTCTAGGGGCCGAAGACGGCAAAAAACCTCCGTTTTGATTTTTGCAATACGCTGGATCTCTGGGACTCTTTGTGATTAGGGCTGGATTGTTTTAAAAAGCTGTGTCAGGAATGTATTTAATTTTGGTTATTTGGGAGGGGGGGTCGCTGTTTTGGGCCTCTGGGGAGGCCCCGGCCCTCGGGGTTCATTGGACAAAAACGGCCCGGGAGGAAAACCGGGCATGGCGTCGAGTGTCAAGGGAGGGAGAGGGGGGGCGGGGAGGGGAAGGGGGGAGATGATGGATGGATGTTGTTGATGATGATGATGATGATGATGATGATGATGATGATGATGATGATGATGATGATGATGATGATGATGATGATGATGATGATGATGATGATGATGATGATGATGATGATGATGATGATGATGATGATGATGATGATGATGATATGATAATGATAATGATAATGATGATGATGATGATGAGGAGGAGGAGGAGGAGCAAGAACTGCGTATCAATCATCATCATCATCATCATCATCATCATCATCATCATCATCATCATCATCATCATCAGGGGCGAGGGCAAGCTGAGCGCGCTCGCGCCATATCCCGCAAGGGATGGGAACAGGGCTGGAGCTGTGTTGGTGGCCGTGGTGCTATTCATGGCAGTGGTTTCGCACGTGCAGTTCCAGAGGACACGTGCACGATCGATCTCACATCGCATGCAATCTTCTGAATCCAAATCCTGCAGTGCAAGTGTGAGCCCATTTTCTTGTCGGTCGGCCGCCGAGAGCGGCTCACGGCAAGACCAGGAATCAGACCGTGATCTGGTTAGTTTTGCAAAAGCAGGAGCTGATTGGATATGATATCTTGCACCGGCTCCAGGGCAACAGCTCTCGCGAGCAACCCTACCAATGCAAAATGAAACCTGGCATTCTGCCACGAACTTCGGTCACCCTGGCTGCCGAAAATCTTGAACAACGATTGTGCGCATGACATTATCCAGAGGGGCTCCAGACAGGTTGATATGACCTTGTAAACGTGCGTGGTAGTGTCGCGGTGGACTCGGCCTCCCTGGTCCGTAATTCCCATGATGTCAAGACTGCACGGACGGTTGTTCGACGGATCACAAGGTCGTAAGTCCACTCAGCGCCGTGCCCGCAGGATACCGTCGTGCTGCTCAGAAACGCGATCGTGCAGCTCAACGTCGTGCTGTTGGTACCCATCATGGTGTTCTCAAGCGGTTGACAAAGTCTTGCCCTGGCACAGCACGTGGTCGTTATGTTCAGTGATGTGCTGTACTGCAGCCAGCCCCCGTGATACATAGCAACGCGCTCCTGGTACTTGCCCTCGTGTTCGGTGATATGCCTCCGATGTCCGTCATACTGCTCAGCGACACGCTGTTGGTAGCCGCTCAGCGTCGTGCTGCTGGCACCGTCGCATTGCCCGCTGGTGAATGTCAGCGCCGCGCGGTGGCACATCGTCCTGCTGCTAAGCGCGAGGAGACCAACACTCGTCGTGGCACTCAGCACCGTGATGTTGGGACCCGCCGCAGAGCTCAGCGCAGCCTCGTTGGTGCACATCAAGCTGTTCCACGCCGTGCTGATGGCACGAGGCATGCGTTTAAACATCGTGCTGTCAGCGCCCTCCGTGTTGCTCACAAGCAAACGTTACGTCGTGGATCTGGATGGAGCTGCGCTCCATCACGTTGCTCCGCGTCGTGCTCTCGTGGCCCCTAGTATGGTCCATCGCCGCGACGTCATGCTGCTCGACGTCGTGATGTTGGTACCACAGCGGGGCCCCGTGGTAGGTGTACGAGTCGTACCGCTGCTTCCCCGTCGCGTTGCTGGGCATCGAGATGCCCTGCAGCAACGTTGTTTTGACACACTGCTCGTCCGAAGCATATCGTGCAGGTGAGTGTCCAGGTCGTGCTGCAATCTAGCCATGCGGCAGCAATAGTCCACGCTTGGGCCTGTGTACAGAGGGCTCGCATCCACAGTTCGACACCAACGACGTTGAAAGATACGCTAAAGACGACTCCACGAATGTGAAAAGAGGCCCTCCAGCGGCCCGAGTAAACGCGTGGGCCAGTATATAACAACCACGGGCCATGGCCAACAAGTTGACCCCAGTCATGCCTCGGCCGAATGGTCGATATTCAAGCCCAACGTTGGGCAGCATCGCGACGTATGCCATCAAAGGGGCGGCATTCGTCGCAGTGTCCCATTTCATTTGCGGACGCTGCCGCCGAAAGTCGGAGCCGTCACCACGGTGCTGGCCTGAGACGCGCTGCGCAGTGGTGTGGCGAAATCGCCCCGTGCACAAGGATGGCCCCCAGAAGTCCGAATCGCGAGGAAAACGCCTGGCCGGGGCTTCCTCGACAGGCCTATCTGGGCCCTCCTTCCTCAAGACTGAGCTTAGGTCGGGCCTGTCCCCCTGCAGGCGGATTCTGGGCGGAAAATAAAAAATACCCAAAAACTACCCCCAGAGAATAAAAAAATGCTGAACAAAAATCGTCCCCTGACTATTTCCGGACTATTTTTGAACATTCCCCCCTGTAGAAGGACAGGCCCGACTTAAGACTGGGCCCCCAGACCTCTCTCTCCCGGCGCGCGGCCGACCAGGAAGGACTGCGAGCGGGTTTTCGGCCACGGCGACGCGGGCCAGGAAAGACGAGAGCTCGAAATCCATCCTCCCCCCTCCCCCCGCCCCCTCCCGGTTGGCGTCGCTACTTACAGCTGTCGGCGACGGATGCCTCGGCTCAAACAACGCTGAAGAGCGCGGCCAAGTGTGACAAGCATTGCGAAATTGCAAAATTCCGTGAACACGTCGGGACTTGAACGTACGCGGCGTTTCCAGGATGTCCCTGCAGGCATGCCCAATCTCCCCAAACCCTGCGCCCTCCCTCCCTTCTCCCACTCTTGGCGGCGAGCGAGGGGAGAAGTGAGAAGGAGGAGACCCTCTAAGAAGGCGGCGGGACTTCTCAGAAGCCCTCGCGCCTCCTGAGACGTCTTCTGCGTCTTCGGGGAAGGTTTAGAAAACTCCTCGAAGGCTGAGGGACTTCCGAGCCTTCTGAGAAGGCCTTCTCCTTCTCACTTCCCCCCCTCGCTCGCCGCCGGCTTTGGCCTTCGGGTCACGACTCGGGCCTCCGGCGGCCGTCCGGGACGATCAAGGCACCCCCGCCCCTCGGCCAGGCGCAGCCGCGGGCAAGCCTCCCGAGGCCGGAAAACCGCCGAGAGCCGACGAAAAGGCGCGGCAACCTTGACCCTGAAGCCTCGAGCCCGAAACTTCCCCCCCGAACGCTCGCCGCCGACCCTCCTCCGCCGCACCCCTCCCCCGGCTCGAGCTGCGAGGGCGCGCGCGCAGGGAACCCTGCTCCGGCCTCGCGGGGCGAGGGCCTGGGCCCGAGGGGGCACAGGACCTGGAGCCCCAGGAGGCCTCGCTGGAGCGGAAGCCCGCGAGGCCCTCCTCCACAAGGGCGGGGTTCGTCCTGCTCCTCCTCCAGCTCCACCTCCTGTTCCTCCTGCTGCTCCTCCCCCTCCTCAGCCTCCCCCTCCTCCTCCTCCTCCTCCTCCTCGTCCTCCTCCTTCTTCTTCTCCTCCTCCTCCTCCTCCTCCTCCTCCTCCTCGTCTCCTCCTCCTCGTCCTCTCCTCCTCCTTCTCCTCCTCCGACTGCTCTCCTCCTCCTCCTCCTCTTCCTCCTCACCTCCTCCCTCCTCCTCCTCCTCTCCTCCTCCTCCTCATCCTCCTCTCCTCCTCCTCCCTCCTCCTCCTCCTCTCCTCCTCCTCTCCTCCTCCTCCTCCTCCTCCTCCTCCTCCTCCCTCCTCCTCCTCCTCCTCCTCCTCCTCCTCCTCCTCCTCCTCCTCCTCCTCCTCCTCCTCCTCCTCCTCCTCCTCCTCCTCCCTCCTCCTCCTCCTCCTCCTCCTCCTCCTCCTCCATTCCTTTTCCTTATGAATAACTTCCCCCTGTCGCACCCCGAGACCACTTTTTGGGGGCGGGCCGGGCGTTTCGCCTGAGAGG